TCCAGAATCCTGGAAAGGCAGGGAGAGTTAAGGTCTGAGTTAGAGCCAGCTTTGGAAAGTCCCTCCACAGACTGCTTTTCCAGGGGGTGAGGGTAAGTAACGAGTTCAGCCAACTTATTCCCTTGCCAGCAAAGGTCAGCACTGGAACTCTGGCCCCCTCGCTCCCCACATGCTCCTCCCAGACAGGCGATTTCCCATGTGGAGCAATCAGGTCAGGGGCCAAAGTAGCAAAGACACTCTGACCCACAGAAGTCCAGTAAAGGCTTACCCACCCCAGAGGTAGCTGCTTGGAGCACCAGCCACTCACGATTCAGAGGCTCACCAGCCTGGGAACTACTTAAGGGCATTTAGTAGCATCAAGTAAAATGAAACCGAAAATTCTAGAGATTTAAGGAACAGTATAAGCCCCCTCACCCTCCAGTTAGAAAGCTCAAAGAGCTTAATTTTTTAAATTTCTGTTTTCCTTCTGTTTTTATCATGCTCCAAAATGATGGGATATTGAAACATGTATGTAAAGTATATCTAGCTTCTTTTCAGTGCTTCTCTGCCCCATCCCCAACCACCCTGGGCCAAGACTGGGCAATGTTTTGTGAATTACTATCCCTTTCTGAGAGCCCAGTATTGGGAGAAGTGCATGCGCTGTAGACTTTCCTCAAATGCGCCCCACTGTTAAGTATCAATGACTAATGTTCATACCATTGATAACTAATAATAATGTATTTGCAATTTAAGAAGTACCCATTGGAGCTGTCCTGATGAGCTGTATCCCTATAGAGGCAATGAAATATAGCTGTTAGTGGGGGTGAGATGGAGTGGGGTGCTTAACTCTATCTAGGTACCTGCCTAGATTTCCCCCCAAAGCTGGCTCTGCATTTAAGATTAACATACATTTAAGATTTAACAAGCTGAGTTAAATAATATGAAATGCCAGCAGGCAGGCCTGGGCACTGAGTGTATGGAGACACAACAAAAGCCTTCACTTTTCTTTCTTTTCAGGTCCCCACATGGTTAATACTAAATGAGGACTTCCTGTGTGGTCAGCAGCCAACAAGTTTGCAGAGAACACTTCTCTTTTGGGTAGATTCCTCCTCCCCACCCCCCAGTGGATTCTTGAACAGACTAAAATCTTCCACGGCCAGAAACAAAGGCTGGCCTCATCTAATGCCGTCAGGACCTAAAAAAATTAATATTCAAACCGAAGGAAACGGAATTTCATTTTGCCTTTTTTATTTACAAGTTGAAATATCTCGAATGGCTAGAAAATACAAACATTGGTATACAGCTTAAATACAAGTGTCACTAGATATTAAAGAACTTGGTTAATAATTTTTCCAAATGCTCAAGAAATATTTCCCAGGAGGCAGGTTAAGTGTTAGGTGCTCGAGGCGCAAAGAACAGAGCCTCAGCTTGTTCAGATGGTCCCACAGGCCAAACGTGCTTTCCACTCAGTGACGCGCATGGCAGCAGGACAAGCAGTGCCACCAGCCTTTGTGCCCCAGCTCCAAAGCTGCACTGGGGCTTCCTCTGTCATGGGAAAGAGTCACATTCTGGGACAAATAAACCACTTTAAAGATGAAACTAGAATGGCTCAGTTCCAGGGCATTCTGTTGTAACCTGGGAAGTTAAGACTTCCCCAAATTGTCATCAAGGGCTAATGGGTAAGAGTCAAGTCAGCCAGATTCATGCAGAACACATTTTCTAGTTCCATACCTTATTCTCTTCTTTAACTCGTGTGAACTGTTTATATTTCACCTATGTGTAAAAGGTGCCAGCCAAATCAATTGTGTCTAACTCAAACTTGACCCAGTGTGCCCAATATTAGGGATCTTTTAGCCCGATCATACTTCTGGGTGAAATGTCTATATGTTAACATACCTCAAAGTTTACATTTTCATTATAATAAATTAGCTTTAATGTTACAATTAACAGCTCAGAAAACTGAATCTAAGTATCTTGACCTAGCATACTAATTTGAACTAATACCATCTTCCCTATCCATTTTGACCAATCCCCAGAATCAGTAGAGACGTATTTTATCTACATGTAAAATATCTAATTAGGTCACTTATTACCAGTTTCTTACCTAAAATAATGAGTATGTAATTTAAAGCACCAAAGCATACTTTATTCCAAAGTCACAACCAAAATACTAAATGTTCAATCTTACTTTTTAATTCATTTTAGAAGTCTCAAAATTGAAATCTTTATAAAGGGAATGATAGCCTGACCGGTTTGGCTCTGTGGATAGAGCGTCAGCCTGCGGACTGAAGGGTCCCGGGTTAGATTCCAGTCAAGGGCATGTACCTTGGTTGCGGGCACATCCCCAGTGGGGAGTGTGCAGGAGGCAGCTGATCGATGTTTCTCTCTCATCGATGTTTCTAACTCTCTATCCCTCTCCTTTCCTCTCTGTAAAAAATCAATAAAATATATTTAAAAAAAAAAAAGGAATGATAAATACTTTGGAAGACCTGACAAGTACCACCAACCCCTTCTCAACCCCGATGTCAAGCAGTAGCCCATGTGCTTCAGGAAGGTCAATGACAGCAGAACTGTGGGCAGGGAGACACACCCTGGGGTTAAACCAGGAGGCACCCCTTGGAGCATTCAGGGAAAGGGGTAACAAGAGCCCAGCCGGCATGGCACAGTGGTTGAGTGTCGACCTATGAACCAGGAGGTCATGGGTCAATTCCTGGTCAGGGCCCTGGCCCAGGTTGCTGGCTCGATCCCCAGTGTGGGGAGTGCAGAAGGCTGCCAATTAATGATTCTATCTCATCATTGATGTTTCCTCTCTCCCTCTCCCTTCCTCTCTAAAATCAATAAAAATATGTTAAAAAATAAAAGTCAATCTTTACCTTTAAAAAAAAAGAGAGCTAATAAGAGTTCACAGTGAAAAAGGCAGACAATACACTGGCCTTTCTTCTTTCAATATACTAATTAGAAAGCAGGAAATCTATTAGGCAGAGAAAAAAACATATGCTCAGAGAAACAGCTGGGATGTCTGTATTCTCTTGGCTGTCCCACAAGTTACGGAATCAGATACATTTATGACCATGCTGGCTCCAAAACAGGATTCATGCTCTGTAATTCAAGTAAATGCTCCAAGGGTGCACCAGGGTTTAGTGGGCGTGAAGAGCAAAGGTTGTCAGACAAGCAGTCTTCAGCTCTAGCAACAAACCTTCAGGTGAGCACAATGGCAGTGATTCACGTTTTACTTCTGAGTTAAGATCTAGATTAGAAGGAATACTAATGGCTTCAGAATGAAAGAACCAAGGCTTAAGCACTCAAAAGAGAACTTCTTAAAATGAAGTCCTATTGCTAACCAGTTGCACTGAAAACCTACAGGGAAACATCCCCAAGCTAGAAGTATACCAACACTGGAATGAATGTCTCTGGGACATGGACAAACATGAGGAAGTCAATCCTAGTTATTTGCTTTTCTTTCAGTGCATGGCACGAGGGGGTGAGGTGAGGAGAGGGATCAACTAATATAGTACAGGAAGATAAAAATGTCAGTTTTGTGGGATTTTATTTGTGTTTCCATTTAGGGACACATTTCCTGTTGTTTAAATGCCACCATAATTCATCACATGAAACTCACCTCCCAAAAAAGGATCCACATGGTTTCATTTTCCAACTGACACAAGTCTGTGCAGCCCACAGAAGTCATTACAGGTTACATTTATTTTTGCCCCCTCTCCTATTCTATATATGGTCCAGTTCCTGAGGAGAAGCAATGTGATTTATCCCACATTCTAGGGGCAAGTGTCCCATCTGACAAATCTCCCTCTGCCCCCCTCTCCACTGCCTCGGGATGCACATGGGGAGCCTTGGTTAGTGACTACTCTCAGGTCCTTCCTGTTTCACCTCTCCAGATTCAGGATAAATCTTAAGTCTATAATCCACTGCAATAAACCAGTCCTGCCTAATCGGCTGACACAAGGAGAGCACATTTTCTCCTTCCCTGCAACCATGTGAAATGGAAGCATTCTTTGCAATTAGAAGCAGCAGGATGAGGGAGCTTAGCATAGAAAAGACAGGAATTAACAGAAGAATGTTTGAGAGGTATAACCAGAATGGCTAACTGGTTTATGACTAAACCCCCAGAGGCTTAAACCCTGGAGACAATATTAATGCAGGAAAGGCCAGGAGTTAAGGCTTAGACAGAAGTTACCTCCTAGTATGGCTCAAAAGTTCAGGGGATAGGACCCAGTGGAAGGAACCAAAAGCCATACAAGTAAATTCTGCTGGTCCAGAGGCCTAGCCCCTCTCATCCTCAGCTGGAAATCAAGACAGGTCATTCCAAGCATGCTGACAGCAGGCCTGTTTGCAAGTTTGAGACTCAGTTTTAAAATAAGCTAAAATAGGACTAGAATGCAGCACTGCAAAGTCTTTTCACAAGTATAATCATGAGAAAGGTTAGAATATTGCATAGAAAAGTGTTCTGTAATATCCTTTGTAACCTAGGTCTTAGTAATTAAAACAATCAAACAAACTAAACCTCCCTTCATAGTCTAGAAGTTCATGATTACGAATTGAGGAAAATGATCAAGTTTGCAGTTTTGCAGCAATACCTCAGAAGATCCTGAAATTCTTCATGTTTAGAATTGTGATTAAATTTACCACTTGGAGCCCAGCCAGGGTGGTTCAATGGTTGAGCATCAACCCATGAACCAAGAGGTCCTGGGTTCGACTGCTGTTCAGGGCACATGCCTGGGTTGCGGGCTTGGGGTGTGCTGGAGGCAGCCAATTGATGTTTCTTTCTCATCGATGTTTCTATCTTTCTCCCTTTCCCTCTCTCTAAAATAAATAAACATATTTAAAAAAATATTTACCATTTGGAGGGTCAAGCTGACAGTTTAACAAGTTTCTTTATAAAAGGACCTGGGCTACATGAGCCCAAGCAAATGTATGTCTCTATGCTCTGCCCTCTCTGCTTAGAAGAGGTGACCAAAACACCCAGGGGCATGAAATCACCGCTATTGTTTTTAAACTTGGGCTGCTTGTCTTCTTTTCTTTTCACATTAGTCTATTATTAAGCAAGCTACACCTGACTACCCTTTTAACAGGTTTGAATAGCCAGTTTAAGAATAAGTGAAAATATCTGAGAACATTTAAATGAACCTTGGCAATAGGATGAGAAATTCTTAACCTCTCTTATCATATGCATCAATTGAGTCTGAGTTAAAATACACCACAGTGACAGTGATATCATCCCTGTACATTCTCGCCAAGTCCTCTGGCAATGTCAGCATTGCGGTCAGCCGTTCTGGATCCATCTCCCCATACTCATTGCTCCCTATGGCATGTCTGATCAGACGTGTGGCTGCATTTTGGTCGGCAACATGAAGCCCCTGGGCTTTCCTCTGCAGCAGCAGGCTTTGCATGAGCCCCAGGTTGGCTGGTCTCTGGGCCAGGTCTGGCTTGTGCCGACCTGCTTCACTCAGGTGCTCCACCACCAGTCTCACCACATCCTCATTGTCCAGTACGTCCCATAGGCCATCTGACGCCAGCACAAGGAACTTATCCTGGGGCCTCAGCCTGTGGTATGTGATCTCAGGCTCAGCAGTCAGGTAGGGTGGAGTGTAGTAGTGCTGTGGGGTGAACTGGTAAATGTTGAGGGCCTCGGTGTCAAAGCCTCTCTCCAGGACACTGCGCTGCAGCTCTTTACTCCACTTCAGCTGGACATCTCCGAATGCCCTGCAGGGCATGAGGATGCCCAGCAGCCTGTCGTCCATGATGACTGTCCTGTCTTCTGACTCAGGATGCTCCCTCTTCAGCCGTGACAGCTCAGCCTGGTTCCAGGCATTGTGGTCGCAGGTAAGGGGCAGACAAGACCACATGCCATTGTCCTCCTGGACACCAAGGATGGCCCGGCAGTCACCAGCATTTGCCACATGCAAGTGAACCCCATCAACATGGGCCACGCAAGCTGTTGCCCCAGAGAAAGCAACCTGGAGGGAAAGGTTCCTTGTCATCTCGTCTTCCAAAGGGGCCTGGATTTCCAGCGAGATGTCAGAATCGAGTCTCTGGAAGGAGTACATTAATGCTTCCTTAATGTTCAGTCCCATTTCCATGTGCAGTTCAAGCAGCTCCTGCCAGTAGACCCGGAGGTGATCAAGGTGCACTGATGTGACATCCTTGTAGATACTGTCCCCTGGGTGCTTGAGCCACTGCAGGATGGGCAGCATGGGCTTCATGCTTTCCATCGCTTCCTCCATCTGCTCCAAGGTCTGCTGAGACATCAGTGACACTGCCACGTAGTAGAAGAGCCTCTCACTTACTGCTTGAGCACATGCATGGCCTCCATGTCCGTCAAAGACACCAAACATCAGCCCATTGGTCTGCAGGCAGGAGGCCACACCTCGCCGGTCCTCCACTGGGGAATTGGCAGCCAGCTGGTTGCTCTCAAACCGCAACACTGAATTTGGGACTCCGCTGACGGGGTCAAGAATCTTGTGGGCTGACTCACCAGCTCGCAACACTTCATTTACTTGCTCAGGGCTGAGCTGCAGGTGGAAATCGTCTTCCTCTGTCGATGTGTGTCTGTAGGCTTTCGGCAGAGCAAAGTCACCACACGGGGCATTGTTTCTTAGGGTGCTTGATACCCAGGGAAAGAGCGTCCTTTTTGATTTATTCCTACTTGAGACACACCTTGAATATAAATGCCTGCCCCCTTGTAATGTGGCAATGCTGTTCCTTGCAGAATTTAAGATCCAGTAGGACACAGGACTTGACATTCTGAAACTATACCAGCAAATGTGTTCCTTCAGCAAAAGGGTGTATTTTTTTAAACCTGAAAATTAAAGAGTTTTAAAGTTTCAAATTTAATTTCTCAATAATGACTTCTGAAAACACTTAATTTGCTACTATCCTGAGCAAAAGTGATTTAAGATAAACTATTTAAAAGAGTTCACTCAACTCAAAATACCTAAGCAAGTCTCTCTACCTCCCATTATAACACATAAACACATCCCAGAAAAATGTGAAAAACAGGGTTTATATACACTCTCCACTCCTACAGAGCCACCGTGGGCTTCCCCACAGAGCTCACTCATTCCTCACAGCTGACCCAGGGATCCCCATTTCCTCTCCTTCCCAAATCCTTCCCCTTGCTAGAGCCCAGTGCCTAGCTCCCATGTTCACTCTTCCCAGCAGACTACACATTTATTTAAATCTGCTTTCTCACTAGTCTGTAAGCTCCATGAATTCAGGAACTATGGCTGCCTTACCAGTGGCTCTCTAGGTCCCAGCCCTGTACCTGGCAATACAACAAGCCTTTAAATATTGGCTAAATGTGGATTTTGGGGAGGATTAATCCTCACCCGAGGATATTTTTCCATTGATTTTAAAAAATATATATTTTTATTGATTTCAGAGAGGAAGGGAGAGGAAGAGATAGAAACATCAATGATGAGAGAGAATCATTGATAAGCTGCCTCCTGCACGCCCCCTACTGGGGATCAAGTCCACAACCCAGGCATGTGCCCTTGACTGGAATTGAACTACGAATCCTTCAGTCCACAGGTCAACGCTCCATCCACTGAGCCAAATCAGCTAGGGCAGTGGTCGGCAAACTGCGGCTCTTTGGCCCCTTGAGTGTGGCTCTTCCACAAAATACCGACTTCTGCGCATGGGCCACGAAGTTTCAATCACACTGTACGTGCGCGCCCGCACGTGGTATTTTGTGAAAGAGCCACACTCAAGGGGCCAAAGAGCCGCATGTGGCTCGCGAGCCGCAGTTTGCCGACGACTGGGCTAGGGCTTCATTGATTTTTAGAGACAGTGGAAGGGAGGGAAAAGGGGCAGAGAAAAAGAGAGAAACATCGATGTGAGAGAGACACATCGATTGGTTGCCTCCCGCACGTGCGCTGACTGGGGCTGTGGAACCTGCAACCGAGGCACATGCCCCTGACCGGAATCACACTCAGGACCCTTCAGTCCACAGGCCTACATTCTATCCACCGAGCCAAACCGGCTGTGGTTACATGTGGATTTTTTAAAAAAAAATCTATTTTATTGATTTTTCCACAGAGAGGAGGGGAGAGGGATAGAGAGTTAGAAACATCGATGAGAGAGAAACATCGATCAACTGCCTCCTGCACGCCCCCTACTGGGGATATGCCCGCAACCAAGGTACATGCCCTTGACTGGAATCGAACCTGGGACCCTTGAGTCCGCAGGCCGACGCTCTATCCACTGAGCCAAACCGGTTAGGGCTACATGTGGATTTTTAAAAGGTCCAACTGCACTCTAGGCATCACACTAGCTGTCTAGCATCAGACACACTGCCTGAGCTTCAGTGGCCCATTGGTGGGATGGGAATACTAGTCTCTGAAGGTTTTGTGAGGAATTATGAAATATGATCCTCCTGCTCCAAAAAAAAGGAGTTATTACTTTTATCATTAGGTGTATTATTCTCCAGTCATTCTGCACACATTTTTATACAGTTGCAACCACAACTTTTAATCCCAGTTTTCCTGTTAAGAACGTTTTGTCCATATTACGTTTCATGGATGCCTAATATTACCTTTTGCCATAAACAATCACAATTTACTTAACTATTGCCTATTGTTGGAAATACGAAGGTCATTTCCACTGCTAGTTATAAAACACCACACTGTCCTGCCCTATGCATCAACCCACTTAGGTTTCATCCTACTTACTTCGCAGGCGAGGAGGAATTAGTAGGTCAAAGGCTGCAGATGCATATTGCCCAACTAATTCCCAAAAGGTTCGCATCCGCCTCTGCAAAGGCACGAAGGAAAACAGTTTCCTAGCACCTTCAACAGCCTTTGGTGGTATTTTTCTCTTGGGCAGCGACAACAAAAGCTGCTCTATTTTCTCTTTCCTCGGGTGACCCAGGAGAAAGCGCGTTTCCCACGTGTTTTCGGATTCCGCTTATGACTGCCCGCCCCCCCCCCCCCCCGCCCCCCCACCTTTGTCTGG